TCTGGCACAGCAGTAGGCTAGCCCCAAATTTAAAACTGAAACAACTGTAAAAGTCTGACTCACAGACGAACACAATACAGAAGCCTGATGATGGCAGATGAGATTCTGCCGAAATGTTGCTACAACTTTAAAAGCATAACTATAATGACGTGGGAAAATACCCGAACAAAGCTGAATACCACACATACATACATACATACATACATACATACATACATATATATATATATGTATATATTGTTTGTAACCTTTTTTAAAATTATTTTTGTTGTGTTTTGGGTTTCTCATTGTATTCCTTTTTAGATTTTAACTTTGCCATTGGAAAATAGTTTATTTTCAAGCTTAAGGACACCTATGTTATCCACCTGGCTAACTTGACTGAATCTTCTTTTGTTGCTTGTCATATTTCAATAGCTATTCCATCAGTTCCTGTAGCCTTCTAATTTGGTAATGGCCAGAGTGCTGAACTATATTAGAGGTTCTTGAAAGTAATTATCTTCTAAGGAATCTTGGATGTTGACATCTCTACTGTATAGTGTTTTCGTATATCCCTTCCATCTTCCTTTTATCTCCTCTGAATTAGTTACATCTATTAGCACTCTTTACCATACCAATTTGAGATTGGAATCTTCTGGGTACAGAGATATTTTTTAAAAAAAAAACTTTCCTTGTTTTTTCATTTCAGCTTCTACCTTCAATGTCTTTAGATGTTGTTGTTAATACTGCTTCTTGTCTCGTCTAACAGCTCTCTAGTTAAGTTCCATTCTGAGGTTTTTATCTTTCTTGACTTTGGCTTCTCTTCTCTTCTTGGCAATTCCCACGGTTTCTTTTGACATCCGGATTGTTTTCTTTATTTTTGGCAGTCTCCTTTCACATTCATCTTTAACAACTTCTTTTAAGTTCATTCCATAATTCCTGCAGTTCTCTATCAATGAAGTTCAGGACTTCAACATAATTTTTAATGTTCTCCTTGAAAAATACTTGATATATGTTCAAGAACATATCATGGAAACTTTCTTCTTTAGCTTAAGTTGGAGCTTTTACATGAGCATTTTATGATCTGTTCCATATTCAGCACCTGGCTATATGTTTGATACTATAACTGAGCTCCTCCATCCTCTTTTAATAGTAATATAGTCAGCTTGAGTTCTAAATGCTCCATTTGGTGATGTCCATACAGTATACAGAGGCATTGGCTATTTGAAGACAGTGTTAGGTATCAAGGAATCACTGGAGTGGCAGAAATTGGTAAGTTGGTCTCCGGCTTCATTTTGGTTTCCTAAGCCATACCATTCAACTACATTGTCCTCTTTCCTGTTTCCAATTTTGGCAATCACAAGCAGCACATCTTATTTGCATCTTCTGTCAATTTCAAATAGGACCTGATCACAGAAGTCATCAACTTTCTCTTCTTCTGACTCACTGATTGGAGCATAAACTTGAATAAAAGGATTGTCCATGAAATCTAATTAATATTATTCATGTCATTGATTGCATTGTAGTCATGTTCTGTTCATGCTATACTCATTCTAACTGTAAAAGCAAGACTTTGTTCTTTGTTTTTCATGGCCAGGGTAATAAACAGTGTGAACCAATCCCAGTCCCTCTCAATTTATTCATGTCTACGTCAATTTGTAGTTGCTTTAGTTCATATTTCACTGTGTTGAGCTTTCCTGTGTTCATGTTTCTTATGTTCCATGATCCTACTATAATTCTAACTTTTCAGCTTGGGAGGTTTTTTTCCCCTGAATGGCAACATCAGCAGCTAGTTGCAAATGCTTTACTCTAGCCATGTCATGGATGCATTTATAACATGGCCAGGGTACTCAACTCTTCCTCGGTAGCATATTCAGTGCCATCATCCAGCACTAAATGGTAAATTATTCTACCCACATAGTTCTCTTACGGAAGTGACTACTGCCTTCTCCTGGGTAGTATAAATTGATTCTTTTGCCACTGTCACCAAAATAATCATCTGCTGTGAAAGATGGTGTTCACAGAAGGGGAGCTGGTATGAGGGATTACACTGAAGCAGCAATTTCCCAGGAAGGAAGAAGCACATTCCAGAAAGGAGGAGAAGGCAGCACTGCCAGAAACTGGATAGGAGACAGAGGAAGAGAGTAAGGATAGCCATTCCTTAAAATCTCCCAGAGTATATCCGTGAGGATGAGAGCAATAAGGGTTTAGTCTGGGAAGATTCTGTTTGTTGTGTGTAAGCAAATAAAGAACTCCGGCTGAATTGCTCTACGTCGTTCTTGGGCTTATCTTCCTCTGGCAATTTCCTATATAGTTGTTGCCCAACACTGTATGGGTACCTGCTTCCTTTACTGGATACCTACATGCCTCTCTCCCATTACACTATTGATAGTAAAGCTAAAAATATGTTGTGATTCTGCTGGGATGCTCTCTGTCAGAGGAAGCAACAAATGAACCGGTGCGTTGGATTCAAAATAAAGCAATTTTTTTAAAAAAACACATCTAAGAACATACATCACAGTATAGCTTGTTCCTCCTATAATTTAAAACCCATTAACATCTGAAAATGCTTACTGTGTCCTACTCAGTCACTTCAGGAAAAGTTGAAATAAAAAAGGAACTTATCCCCAAGAGATTTATGCGAGCAATGTGTATTAATTGCCAAGGTTCCCAAAAGCTGTGATACTTTAATACCTGCTATAAATGATGCTTGTTTTCTCTTTCTCTTTCCCTAAGATCCATAGTAACTAATTGCCTTCCAAAAATTTAAGATGGTGGGGGGGGGGGGGGTTTGGGGAGGCCAAAAGGCCAGGGGTTGCTATCAGGTCAATTCACTTTAGTGGACTTTGTGTGCTTTTCTCACAATAGAAGAGAGAAATCCAGTGATGTGTAAGCTGGTGGTAGAAATTCTAGGTAGAAAATCCATACCCTCCCATTGCTTGTAAAAATAGTTACAACAGCCTTACAGCCGTTTCAAAACCATTGTTTTTTCATAAAAACTCTTTGCCTAGTACTGAAAGCATGACATTATATGCCAAATGAGCTCTTCATGTCCTTTTTAAGAAAAGAGTGTTCAGTAAATATTTCTCTTTTTTGTTAAGTACCCTGTCATTTGTTACCGTGATAAGTACACTATTATCTAAATAAATATTGAGTAACACCAGAAAAGTCATTCATGAAAGCAAGAATGCAATTCTACATAAAGAAGTATTTTTTCCAAGAAAAGAACAGGTATTACTCATAGGAATCTGAATGTGAAATATGAAACTAACATAGTTCTACAATCAGAATTGTAATCTTAGCTGAATAAGGAAAACTCACATTCACAGTGCAGGCTTGGCAAGCTGAGGTTCAAATTTACTTCTATTTTACCCCCACTGTCTTTGTCTGGATCATCTACATAGAGTTCATTCACACTGCAGGGGAGAAGAAAATAGGTGGTGTCATTTTTAGAAGATATTAAAACAAAACTTTATTTGAATGAAATGTGCCAAGGACATTTGTACTGAAAGAGAAATAAACTTTGCTGTAGGACTGAGCTATGCAGGTTGAAAAATATAATTACACCACTCTTCAAAACACTCATTTTGTTTGTCTCTCTAGAACACATGCAGAATGCAGAACAACTGACCTAACAATCGTTTCAAAGGAAATGTATTTAAGTAATGAGAAAAGATGTACTTTTTATGTGATTGCGCTGTTAAATAACATGAAAGTTCCTAATGGCACAAATAAAAGTAGTTTCTAATCAGTTAAATAATTAGAGTGCGTATCTTCTCAATAAAAAAAAAAAACAGAATATAGTCACAATGAATAGAAATCAGATTCAAGCTTAGACATGTTAGTAATTAGACAAGTTGATACTCTTTCTTGGCTTCCAATTAACAAAATTATGTTCAAAATAACAGTTTTTACATTACATGACCAAATATGAACAATTTCTTTCCAGGTCGGTTTCAGTTTCATTCATTTAGGCTAAATAAGTCCATTTTAAACAGATATCCATTATTCAATTTTACAAATAGAAGGGCATTATTTAAAAGTTTAGATGTGGCACAATTTTTTTTTCCAAATAAGCTTCATTCCAGTGTTTCTCAAGGTCAGAAACTTTAAGATGTGTGGACTTCAACTCCGAGAATTTCTCAGCCAACAAACTGCCTAAAATTCTTTTTAAATTCCTGAAGTTGAGAAAGACTGTTCTATACATGATGTATGTGAATGGAATGGAGTAAATAGACAACTTGTCCCTGCCTTCCTCAAAGTTATTATGATTTCCAGTTATGTTCAGGCAGCATGGCTATGAACCTTACTATCTGGAAACTGTGGAACAGGAAGTGGGAACAGTGGACTCAACAATTCCCTTATGTTCCTGTTCTCATATGTGTTACATCATTAATGTCTGTTCTCATCATTCCAAAGATTAAATAATATGCAGATGTTTCTAAGAAAAAAAAATAGGCCAAGATATGCAAGTGGTTCTAGGATTAAGTAATAATAAGATTTCCTTAGTAAAAAGTAAGCGACAGATATGCAAAGTTTCTTATTAATGAACTATATTGCTTAATTTTTATTTTAAAATACAATTTTACTTTAACAATTGCACAAATGGCTTAATCTGATATGCTTCTCACATAATCCTATAAATGACTAATAATGTACCTAATCATCACATAAAAGAGAACACTGAAGATTAACCAAAGTCTGTATTAGCATATTTTCACCAATTACGCCCTTTCCTGGATCAGCGGTCCCTACTCACAGTAACTCATGCCCTGGTCACTTCCCATCTTGATTATTGCACTGCGCTCTACATGGGGCTGCCCTTGAAGAGCATCCGGAAGCTCCAGTTGGTGCAAAATGCAGCGGCCCGCATGGTTTTATGTAAACCCTGGTGTGCACATGTATCATCTTTCCTGCAGGAGCTGCATTGGCTGCCAATTTGCTTCTGGGTGCAGTTCAAGGTGCTGGTTGTCACCTTTAAAGCCCTTCATGGCTGGGTCCGGGTTAGCTGAGGAAACATCTCTTGTCAGTGACATCTACTCGCCCCATTAGAGCAAGGAGGCAGGGAATGCTGCGGGTCCCACCCCTGAGGGAGATACACCTGTGAAGGGCCTTCTCTGTGGTGGCTCCATCTCTCTGGAACATCATTCCCCCAGAGATTAGAATGGCCCCCTCATTAATACTGTTCCGAAAGGCACTAAAGACCTGGTTTTGCTAGTGGGCCTGGGGAATCCAGAGAGGGGTGGAACCCATCAAATGACTAGTGTGATCCGCTGTCATCGGGGAGTGGAGTGGGAGTTGGTTTTTGTTTTTGGTTTTTTTTTTGTTTTCCCAAATTTTGCTCTATTGTACTTTACTAATTTATTTGATTCTTTTTGTGAGTTCTTATTGTTTTTATTTTTATTTTTTGTTTTAAATATGATTTTACATTGCGTAAGCCGCCTTGAGTCGCCATGGGTGAATAGGCGGCAATATAAATCAAATAAATAAATATTAAATTGAAACAGATTGGCTGCACTCTTCTTATTAATAGAATAACTGAGTTGGAAAGAACCTTAGAAATTTTCTACTCTAACACCTTGCTCAAGCAGGAGACCCAATACCATTTTAGATACATGGTTGTCCAATCGCTTCTTAAAACCTCCAGTAATGGAACATCCTCAATTTTTGAAGCCAAGCCATTCAACTGATTAATTGTTCTGTCAGGAAATTTCTCCTTATTTCTAGGCCAGTTTTCTCCTTTATTAGTTTCCATCCATATAATTTATATACAGATACAGTATGGTTTGCCCTGCATAAGTAAAACAATGATTGTGATTTGTTCCAAAGAAAACAAGTTAGAAAATGAAAGCAACTTTTTTTCTCTAGGTTTCGTTTTTCTGATATCTCTGGTTCACACAGCACATTAAACCAATTCACAGGTGGAGTTTTCTGTAAGTATAGTTGTTTACACCCAATAAAAGGAGGAATCTGTAGATATTGTTTGACTTGATACAATAGATGTTTTGTTTAAAAAGAATAAAAGGACATGCTCATGACATATAAAGCAGAGTCGCAAATGGTTGCTTAGCATAAAGGATAACTAATCAACTAATCATGAAGTTCAGTTCTCATCCAATTCATCCTAGTCACTCCTCTTTCCCAGCAATTAATTCCTGAGCTCATTCTGCAATTGCTTGCTTTCCCTACATTCCCCCCACCCCACTTCTAACTGCTTTGCATTTTTCTTTCTTTTCACATTCTTATTTATTTTTATTTATTTATTTGGTTTGTCAATTGCTTACAAGATAATAGGTATAAGTAAAAACATAGTTATGAATACATGGTATTCTTGGTAGAAAGATATATAACATGGTTTTTCAAGATTAGCAGGAAAATATTTTACTGGAGCAAGTGGGCTAAAGATGGATGACATGAAAGCAAGTATACAATGGAACAGAACACGGGTTCTGTGTTAAGAAAAACATGTATTGTTCAGATGCTAAGATTATATTATTATTTAGCTTTTGGATGGTACATTCCAAGTGGAGCAACACGTTTTAAGCTATTCCTGAAAGGTAGTGAAGTGTCAGGTCATCAAGTTCAGAATAGCTACATTTCAAGACAATGTGCTACACTCAATCTATTGCTTGGCGACCCTTCCTTAAAATTGATCCATAAGGCAGATGGTAAGCATTAATCAACCCTTTGTTGAGATGATTCATAAATATGATGCAGAAGGGAGGAACATGTCTACTCATGGATGATCTGGTTTCATGTTCCTTCGTTGCAGCTGCCAACAGGCAGAACTAAGCTTTCCATAGAGTTTACCACTGGCTGATTACGTAGTTACTTAGGATTAAGTAATAAAGTTCTTCAAGTTCCCAGGAATGACTTCAGTCAAGAGAAGCATAAATCCTCATAAGCAGTGCACCTATCCTTATTAGTACCGTAGTGCCTCCTGAGGTATGCCAGCTTATGAGACTGCCTGTTTCACAAGAAGGACTCACTACCCTTCTCCCCATCTCCTCCTGGATCTATGAGGCACGCCTATCCTGTCAGTTATAATCTGTGAAACAAACAAAGCTGTCAAAGGCAGTCAAGCTTTGCAGGTTTTATACTAACACCACCTTGAAGTAAATTTTTGTATTAAAACATCCTTGCTGTCCTCTTTAGGGAAAAAAAACAACCCTTGGCTTTTGTAGAAGATACTCTAAAAAATATGCATGATGGGCTAATAATACAGGTTTGATTTGTGGTTCTTTACTACACAGTACAGTTAGTCCTTAATTTACAACCACAATTGAGCTCAAAATTTATATTAGTGAGTTAAGTCAGGGCTGTCAAACTCGTAGCCTGCCGGGGGGGATGCTGCAACAGTCATAAGTGTGAAAAATGATCATGTCACTTTTTTCAGTGCCATTATAACTTTGAAGAGTCACTAAGTGGTCTGTTGTTAAGTAAAGGACTACCTATATAAAACTTTTATTCCTTTACTATTATTTTTTTTAGAAGAGGTAATACTATGCTTGAGTGGGATCTTGAGTTTCTTCCACAGAGTTTCTAAACTTGCTACTCCAACATCTTAGCTTTCTATCGCCATCTCATCTGTTGCTGTAAGTATACCATTTGCCCCCACCCAAAAGAAGTAATTGGCAGCCCTGGGAAACAATTGTTCTTCTTCATGATACGTTCTTCAAAGTCTTCACCACTTTTAAGAAGAGGAGAAAAAACTTCCTTCCAATTTTACCTAATTATATTATAATTTGTCACCCTTCCTCTTTCTCAAACGGCATTGAGAAAGTGTCACAATAGATGGATTAGATTTCCATGGCTGGTGTCTATCAGGCAGTGCTAAGGCTTCAGAATTTAGTTTTTTGATGTTTTGGCAGAAATCGTCAGAAGGAATGGTTCGCAGAATTGAGTAAGGACAGTCTGCGCTTCTGTCTTCTCAAATTTTTATGCTCTTTTTATATGAAGATAGGTGTAAATTACCCTTGAAGTAATTTGAAGCTCTAGTAGACGGGTAATATGTACCGGGGTGGGATTCTACCAGTTTGCACCAATTCGCTAGAACCGGTTGTTACCATTCTAAGCAGTTCGGAGAACCGGTTGTTAGAAGAAATTATTGGCCTAATCCTGTAAGGAAGGCAGGAAGGAAACATTCTGGTGCTGCTTACAGAAACTGCCTTTCTGTTAACCCTTATTACATTCTTGGCAGGACTAGACTTCCTGTCTCAGGAACTTCTCTGGAGTTTTTTTCCCCTCCTTTGCTGGTACTTTGCTTGTGTGGAGTGACCATTCAATGTTACAATGGCACTGAAAAAAGTGACTTATGACCCTTTTTCAAACTTATGACTGTTGCAGCATCCCCACAGTCATGAGAGGCCAGGCGAGGAGATGGTGCCTCGATGTGAGTGATATTGAGTTGGCCATG